AGCAGCTTTTCATTGGCTCAGAAGTATGGGGGTAGAATTGTTGCTTAATTCCAAATAAATAGATTATGATCCACAAATAAAAACATTCACAAATATATATATTTATGTCACAACCACAACTTTGCCTGGCATTTATTTGTGCAATGGCAATATGTTTTTCATTTGCAAATCTCATTTTATTTATTTGTGAATTTAATTCATGTTTGTGAAACTTTAAGATTTATTTGTGGATCTCATTCTATTTATTTGTGGATCATAATCTATTTATTTGGAATTAAGCAACAATTCTACCCCCATACAGAAGGGACATTAGGAGTTATTACTGCAGTTTCCATTCTGTGCCCCCGCAAGCTTAAAGCTGTCAATGTAGTGTTTTTAGATGAAATGACACGTCGAAAAGCACATTTTAAACGTGCTAATTCATTTAGGGCCATCAATGGGCCTTTACTCTCAGGTCTCCTTTTCATGCAAAATGTGTGGCTGCATCAACTTATTGCTGTTCCCTCTGTGTCCTGCAGGGTGCTCCAGCTTCCAGCAACTGCTGGAAACATTTCAGTGTTGTAGAGGGATGTTGGGAGAGGTCCTGTCTGCTTTTGAGTTTTTAGATGCCTCCTGTTGTATGAGCCTTCTGGAGAAGCATCTGAAACTCACCAACCCCATCACAGTTAAACACTAGTGTCATTACTGTTACAAAGACAACTTTGGGTATCTGTGTTCTTAAAGTCGAGATGTAAAGGAAGTAGTAATGTTAACTAATTCTTTTGTGACACATCCAAGTGAGGTGGATAATAAAAAAAAAAGTAGGATGGGGACTTTGAATGCGAGCTTACAGGTCGGTTGTAAGAAAGGGGCGGTGTTTAAGCAGACTGTATGATTAGAGAAGTCCAGCATATATCACCAGAGAGAAGGCTGACCAGAAGATTGAGTTATGATATTGTAATTGCAAATTATTAAAAAAAACATGCATGGCTGAATTGTTCACAATAAGATCAATAAAATGCATTTAGAAAATAGATATGTGCCAACTTTAGGTTGGTAGATCTTTTAAAAATATTGGATAACTCTAATTTCTGTTTTTTATTGGTCTTATTGGAATGTGTTGCAGAAAGTCCCTTTTACAGACCACTGGATCCAACACCACCCGTGATGAAGAAAAACTACACAACTTCCTTGAGGAGGTCATGACATCATCTCTAGTGACTGATGGGACCGTTGCGACAGAGGCGACAAAAATTAAGGCACTCTGCTCGCTTGTTGATTAGCAGAATTCAACATGTTTTTGAATTTGACTTTACAGATTTGTTCTGTCTAGAGCTGAAGATTTTGTGCCATACCTAGGCATTGTGGTCTTTGAGGGAGAGAGTCACAGAAGCTCTTACACATGAAGGCTACACCTACAAATATGACATTTCCCTCTCTGTGGAAAAGATCTACGATTTAGTAGGGGGCACCTTGGAGACATGGCCAAGAATGCTGTAGGCTATGGACATGTTGGTATGGCTACCTTTTTTGTCTTGCTGTAATTGCTGGACTGTTTTGAGTCTGAAGCTGGATTTGACAGATGTTGGCAAGTGTATGTTGTCTAGTGTTTTAAAGTCAGTTCAAATTTTTGAAAGCTGTCTAGTGTATTTTTGATCAAATAAATGCAAGAGTGACGACTTACAAAATCATTAAACAATCTTACCAACACCAAACTTTTGTACAGCAATGTACTTGTGTACAAACCTTTAAGCAGATCCCCTCAAACCTTGCCATAATTCTTTTGGTGTTCAGTATTTCTTTTTGTTTTGTTTCAGGTGATGGAAATCTTCATTTAAACATCCCTTCCCCCTTTAACGACCCCGCTCTACTGGCTGCCATTGAGCCATATGTATATGAGTGGACATCTGAATGGAAAGGCAGCATCAGTGCAGAGCATGGGCTCGGTCTGAAGATGAGAAATTACATTTATTACAGTAAACCTTCAGAGGCTATCGCCCTCATGGGCAGCATTAAAGCCATGCTGGATCCTAAAGGCATTCTCAACCCGTACAAAACACTGCCAGACAACATACACTAATAGTTTCATGGTTTTTATGATTTATATGAAAAATCTGTTTTTTATTTGGCCACAGTGTTATTGTAATACTGTCAGTGTATTGAATGGACTGTAAAAGATCACACTCAAAGTATTTAATTTGATCAGTCTTGTGTTTTATTATTATGGCAGGATTGGCATTCCATAATCTACGCTGTTTTGTATCTTTTGAAGCTATTTGAAGTTGTGTGCGGAGGAATACTGTTTTGGTAATCGCGTGAGTTGTGCTTAGGCTCCGCTAGTCTGCGCGGATGAATCTGATGGCCATAACCATATCAATTCATAATGTAATGGTGGAAACTATTACTTGGCAACGCTGTTTATAGGCAAATAGACCAAAGAAGTAGCTGGTTTAGAGGTTGGCATTGCTACCAAGAAAAACTGTTTTGTGAGCCTAGTCAGTGTACAGCAAATGTGATGCTATGCAAACTATGTTGATTCGTGTTCTATTGTGGGTAATATTGCTCTCCCCTTTCCCTTGCTAACTCTTTTCCTTTCGAAGTTACAAGCTACCATTACCTACTTCCACTACATTTAATAGTAGCTAGTGATGGTGCTTTCAAAACACTGCTTCGTGAAGCTCCGAATCCATCGCAAAACATCTTGTTTTGAACTAGCGATTCGGAGCGCATATATACCTGCCTAAGTCCTGTGATTTTCAGTAAACTAGGCTTCCTTATGTCTTAACTGTTTCGAGATGTGGAAGTGGATCTATGTGGACCCATGGACCGTGAACCAGTGTCTGAGTGGTTTTTACCTGATCTCGGATCAGTTTTATACATTTGTAGACATTTTGAGTGACATTTATATAAAATTAAAAGGAAGTAGTTAATGGTCTCTTGAACCAAGCCTGCTTAACCAACCTCTCCTTACAACAAACAAAACAAGCCCTACAACTAAGTTAAATTACTCATATTATACAGACACAATGTTATTTCTTTATTTAGGGATATGACAAGCATGGACAATTGATGAAAATATACATAATTATCAAACGCTTACCATAGTGATTTAGTCTAAGGCAAAAACATGGTTAAGATGATGTGTGTATGATGTTCTTATTTAAATTTTGTTGATTTAGAAGAAACCACAAAGAATTGCAGCGTCTTTGAGCATTCATAAAAACAGTAGCTTAACCAATGGTTTTTGGGAAAGAACTACCTGCTGAAAGGCATACAGTTAGGGATTGACATTATTTTTGCAATTTTGTTTGATGGTGCATTGAAGCTATTGAGCCACATCAAATGAAGACCATCTAAAAATGTAGCTTGAGGCAAGAATGAAATCAGCACTGAATTCTTCAAATAAAAGCCCAGCATGAGATTTTATTTTTTTTTAGCATGTGAATACACCAGATTTTGTCTAATGTTCCTCACTAACAAAAAGTTGTTCAATCCATTGAGATAATAAAATATTTTGATTAACAATGGCTGTTAACTCCCCCATCACATACAAATTAATTCATAAAGGATCTGTCCATGCTAAATGAAAAACAAATATTGTTCCGTTCTAACAGGAAAGCTACATCTGGAAGAATGCAATGGAACGACATCTAAGCTTATTTCAGAGCCAATTTTTAAAGACAGTTACTAAAGCGGTCTACAACTGATCTTGTGTCTGCAAGTCGGTTGGCATTTACGTTCTCATTAGCTTCAGCCGATGTACTACCAGCTATACAAGCACTGGTTTATCAGAAAGAGGCTGCAGACCTCATGTAAACATCACCACAGATAAGAAGGTCATTTCCCAGCAGACTCAGACAATGGGGAACCTTTCCTAAGGCTTCCTTTAGCTCATCTCCCTGTACAGGAAAACTCAAGACAGATGCATGATAATCCGCAACACGATTCTAGAAATTTACGGCTAAAAAGGAAGCATTATCACAGCATGGACATGACAGAAAAAACATTCCACTGTTGTAATGAATGAAAAGAGCAGATTTAAAAAAAAAAAATCATAATTATGTCTTGCATTTATATTCCAGTAACATCATACATAAGGTTTCTTTCATTATAACATTCACAGTTCATAATGCAAGAATTCCTGTAGTCTAATTCCTAACGCCGTTCTCCTGTAGAACACAAATATGTAAATGTTTGTTCCATGATGGAAGGTTCAATTCAAGGCCTGTCAGACCGTGTCCATATTTTTCTCCTTTATGCTGTTTCTGGAGGGGAAATGGGAGTCCCACCGGGTTCAGTGGGAAAAATGATCCATAAAAGAGAGCATAATTCTCTATAAAACGTTTTTAGGCCAATGGACAGGAAGAACAAAGCAAATAAACAGCATGTTAGAGTTGGGACAGATGCTAGTGCTCAAATCCAACGGTCTGGTTACACACAGTGTCTGTATAATGTGTGGTCAGTAGTTCTGCGGCCCTCTCTCCTCAGCAATCGGTTTTGCCCTTCTCCAGTGAGCTGTGGATCTTATCCAGAGTCTTTTTGATGCGCAGGGCAGTGAGTCGAGCCGAGGGGTTCTGGTACCAGCACTCTTTCATCAGCTTTACCAGAGCAGACAGGGTCTGTGACCACACAAAAACACACAGACGTTTGTTTTCAGATCATAGTGAGGATCTCCTGTCGACTACAAACGTTAACATTTATATATGGAAAATAAGACAATCATACATAAGGTTTCTTTCATTATAACATTCACAGTTCATAATGCAAGAATTCCTGTAGTCTAATTCCTAACGCCGTTCTCCTGTAGAACACAAATATGTAAATGTTTGTCTGTTTTTGGAAGAGCAAAAGTGACCAGTGTTGAGCGGCAGCCGTCTCATGTAGTGCGTCACGACAGTGTTAACAAATTCTTAAAGCGTCACACAACTCAACCCAAAACATTTCGACTTGGGACATAACGATAGTGTTTTCCTTTGTAAACCTCGTAATTCCAATATTAGAGTTGCACTTTTAAATAGTCAAAAACGTTAAAAATCTTCAGCATTCTCTCGGTTTATGCTGTATGTTGAAAACTGTAATACAAAAGTGTCAAAAAGCGTGAGGGTAAACAAATATGCAAATTCACAAAACCAGAGACTGTTTATGACTATGACTAGCTCTGTTAGCGTGTTGACAAGTCACCTTGAACACTCATAATAAGTAGGGTTTTGTACATAACATTAGCAAATAATTCAGGCCCTAATGGACAGCGGCTGATTGTCAGTGAAGAAACGTCAAGTACACATGCCGGTGAAGGCAAAGAGAAAGACAAACTGCTACAAAAAAGCACGATGTGCTACAAATGGCTTTTGTCAGGCAGGCATAGAGGCAACAGGTCAGAAAGGCCTTGTGTCAAAGGAAGCCCTCATGGGGTGCTCTGAGCAAGACCAGAGTAAAGGGATAAAGGGATAGTTCACCCAAAAAATATATTAAAGTTCTGTCCCCATTTACTCATCCTCATGTCGTTCCATTAACCATATGACCATTTTTCCTATGTTTCTTTCACTTTCAGGGAGGTTGACAGTCCCTGGTCAATAAATGCACTCACTGCATGGAAAAAGAGCAGCGTGAACATTCTTTAAATGTTCACGCTGATCACACATTTTTCAATTTTGGGTGAACTCTCTCTAACCACTCCATTCTGATCACTAAACAGGCCTAATTTCTACTGTACATATATTGGCATTTTGTAACCAAAGAGCTTTATAACAAGTCCACAATAGCAAATTCAGAAACTGTGACTGACTTCTGCCTATTTTTCTACAAGAACCTTTGAAAAGCTCAAAAACATCTGATTTCTAAAAGCAAGTGACATTACAGCTATAAAGTTCTTCTGGTTGTCATGCGCACACATACACACACACACACACTATGGGTACTGATTGCATTTCAGCACGTGTTTCTGTCCTCTTCGTTTTCCCGAAAAGTAGAAATCTTAAAAGTTTGCCAGTGGTTAAATAGACAATGTGATGGTGCAAAAAAAAAAAAATTCCATGATGGAAGGTTCAATTCAAGGCCTGTCAGACCGTGTCCATATTTTTCTCCTTTATGCTGTTTCTGGAGGGGAAATGGGAGTCCCACCGGGTTCAGTGGGAAAAATGATCCATAAAAGAGAGCATAATTCTCTATAAAACGTTTTTAGGCCAATGGACAGGAAGAACAAAGCAAATAAACAGCATGTTAGAGTTGGGACAGATGCTAGTGCTCAAATCCAACGGTCTGGTTACACACAGTGTCTGTATAATGTGTGGTCAGTAGTTCTGCGGCCCTCTCTCCTCAGCAATCGGTTTTGCCCTTCTCCAGTGAGCTGTGGATCTTATCCAGAGTCTTTTTGATGCGCAGGGCAGTGAGTCGAGCCGAGGGGTTCTGGTACCAGCACTCTTTCATCAGCTTTACCAGAGCAGACAGGGTCTGTGACCACACAAAAACACACAGACGTTTGTTTTCAGATCATAGTGAGGATCTCCTGTCGACTACAAACGTTAACATTTATATATGGAAAATAAGACATTTAGTTCCTTTTTTTTAGCATAAAGACAGTCTGCTATAGAGTGCTGCAGGGATGATGTATTTTCACAAGCCAATCTGGAAATTAGCATCACCCTGGTTCCCTCAACAAAAATGTTTAGGATTTTTCCACTGGTTTTTGTATTACTGCAGAGAATAAACTCTGTGACCAACAAAAGTGTATTATTTTGACACGTTTTGAAGCCTAAATACAATCACCAGAAGTAAAAAGCTAAAGTTAGGCTATAAATGAACTAGGCTACATCCCCTTCACATGACTTCAACATCACCACCAGCCTCCGATAACTCAGTATTTACTTGAATTCTAACAGTTAACGTTTTAGTTAGCATGGTTTGCAAGATTGCGATTATAAACCCAATGAGGCTCTGAAAGCTGACTAGTGAGTAAATGAGTTTTCCTATTTGGTGTGATAACATTTAATGTCCCTGATGACCTCAGTAGTCTCATTTAGCCACTTATTATTAGCAACTTTTTCAAGATTGTGTAAAAGCTTAGCAAATGGGGTGGGGCAATACTGATGTACTTTATGTCGAAAGAACAAAACATGAAAATATCTTGAACTTGTTTCCTTATCATAAAACCTAATTTCAGGCATTTACACGCATTGATTTTGGGACAACAGAAGTGGAATTGTAAAAATACGAACTCATTTCTGGGTTTTAGGACTCGTTCCTGCAGTACTGTATATGTGTAGACTATTAACACGTCCACTGCAAGGTAAATATGTTTACAGGGATACAGAGAGTGTCTCATCATTACTTACAGGATCTGAAAACCAGCGGTTGGGAATGAACGGCCTTTGCTGCTCCACACAAACCACTTTCCTCATGTCGTCAAAGCTGGGGTCATTAGGCACCAGGTCGTAGAAAGGCGGCTTGTATTCCTCAACAATTCCTACAGGATCACAGTGTTTAAAAAAAAATTAAGTGTCATTGAACATTTAATTGGAGAACATTCTGATCTCTATTGTCCTTAAAATGCTGACAAAATAAATAAAATTCTGTGCAAACATAATGAAAGATTTCTGAATAGATTCCAGGTAGCTGACCATTACTGATGGTCCTGCGAGCGATCTCCCACAGCACCAATCCAAAGGCCCAGATGTCCACCCTCTTATAGGCATCGAAACAGTCTGTCTGAATGGTCTCATCCAGAACCTCCGGTGCCATGTAGCGCTTAGTTCCCACTTTAGGATTATTTCCCACATCCAGCTGATTGTCAGACTGCGTGTGTGTTACTGCCAGACCTATAAAGAGACACAAGCAGATGAAGAGTAGAAGTTAGGGATGTAACGATTCACTCAACCCACGATTCGATTTGATTCACTATTTTGATTTCACGATTCGATTTACGATTTTTTTTTTTTTTACAAAATGAGATTTAAGACAAATTATAAATTAAATGTGTCATTTTATTATTGCTTGGACAAAATACTGTACGTTTCTTTGTGAAATTGAAATATAACACTATAATAATATACTAATATAGCGCTTGTAAATTATTACTCTTTTGTTGGTTTTGATTGCTTCTATTGTCCTCATTTGTTAGTTGCTTTGGATAAAAGTGTCTGCTAAATGACTAAATTTAAATATAATGTAAATGTAAATGACAAAATTAAATTGAAATGTTTAAAAAAAGCATTAAAAAAAATGCATGCAAGAAATTACCTAGGTCAGCGATGCAGCACTGCAGATCTTTCTTCACCAGGATGTTTTTGCTCTTCAGGTCTCTGTGAGCGATGGCCGGTTTGCCCTCAGTGCCAAAGATCTCCGTGTGCAGGTGCACCAGCCCGCTGGCTACTGACGCCGCCATGTGCAGTCCATCTGCCATCTCCACGGCAACACGCTGCAGGTAGTCGTAAAGAGAGCCGTTTTCGTGGTAGTGTGTGATGAGCCACAGCTGAGTGCTAGAGTTTCGGGAGGTCATATCAGAAGCCATGAATCCTGCAAAGAAAAGAGTTTAAAATAACATCACCCACATTGCATTGAGCTATTTTTTTGTTCTAGCATATATTTTATTTAAAGAAAAGATGCTATTATCTGAGATAACAAAGATGTCCGACTCACCTAATATATTTTCATGTCGTAGTAGAACAGTGTTGTATATTTCTGTCTCTCTAAACCATGACTTTTCATCTCTGGAGGAGAAGATCTTCACGGCTACATTCTCTCCTTGCCACTGACCTCTCCACACTTCCCCATACCGTCCCTTACCTGAGAACACAGGACACAGAGAAATTATATCACGTACATCACTGTCGGTAATTTATTGCACGTTACTAGACAGAGATTAATTACTTGTGTAATGTGTTGTAAAAGCTGCAAAACACAGTGTCACAGATTTTGTAGTCTTATATGTACTAAGGTCATTCTACGATTTGTCTTACCAACACACTCTACCAGGCTGATCTGCCGTGCAACCGTCCTCTGCACCAGGAAGGGCAGTCCAGAACCACTGCCTGAAGTGCAGGAGTGATCCATCAGATCCTAGAAAACAAAAAGACTGATGAGACATTATCTAACGGTTAAAGACTGAAAACAGAATAACTTCAGCTAAACTACTGCAACATTCAAAAGTGTGGGGTGAGTAAGATTTTTAGTTTTTTAAAGAAATAATACTTTTATTCAGCAATGAAGCATTCGATTGTTAAAAAGTGACAGTAAATAAGTTTACACTGTTATCCAAAAAAAATAATTTTTGTTTTTGTTTTTAATGTTCTATTCAAAAATTATTATGGTTTTGCCGTTTTAACATTGATAATAAGAAATGTTTCTCGAGCACCAAATCAGCATTTTAGAATGATTTCTGAAGGATCATGTGACACTGAAGACTGGAGTAGTGATGCTGGAAATTCAGTTTTGCCGTCACAGGAATAAATTACATTTTAAAACATATTCAAATAGACTTTTTGTAATTGTAATAGTATTTCATAATATTACTATTTTAAAGTAGCAGGCTTGGTGAGCACTTATGAGTAGTGGTCGGCAAATATATCGGCCGATATTTGGCATTTTTCAAATATCGGTATCGTTCGAGGCAGGGCTTTTATTTTGACGGCGCTGAGAACGGCAGCACCTGAGCGCACACCGCTCACATTTTCCCTCGTTCGCTGTCATCGTTAACAGTTCTGTCGAAATACGGATAGAAGTCTATCTAATAATCAGATAGAACGGTTAAACAAAGGAATTAAAATGTATACAAAAAAGTATTATAACAATTGCTTTAATATTATTAGTAATAAAAAAGGCAAACATTATAATACATTCTAATTTGCCTTCAGCATTCAGCAAATACGCATTTATATTATTTAAAAAAATCTTTGAATATCTAATAAACATCTAATTTCAAAAACCATGCAAACTTAGTGGGATCCATTTGTGAGATCTTGTGAAGTGTGCATGTGTATCCTGCATGATCGTGTGTTCTTTGTCAAGTCAAGTCAAGTCACCTTTATTTATATAGCGCTTTTAACAATACAGATTGTGTCAAAGCAACTGAACAGCATTAATTGTGTCAATAATGCAAAGTGACAATAGTAAACACTCATTTTTCAGTTAAAGAAATAATATCTTTGCAATTATGTCAACGATATCGCTGGAAATGAAGTGTCCCCAACTAAGCAAGCCAGAGGCGACAGTGGCAAGGAACCAAAACTCCATCTTTGTGTGACGATCGGTCCGTGCAAATTGAATGCGGACAGGTGGAGAGTTCAGCTTCACTGGAGACACGCGATCGACAAACTTTAAACTCGTGATTTAAAATTATGCTGCGCTTTATGCATTTGCCCACTGCCATATTCATGTCATTTTCACTGTGTGCTGTATGGAAAATGAGTGTTACCTTGGCTTTATATGGGAAAAAAAAATAAATAAATAAAAAAAATAAAAATATATATATATATATATGTATGTATGTATGTATGTATGTATGTGTATATGTATGTATGTATGATTCCCAATGCACACAGACTTCCCAGAATACTGAGTGCCCTGTTGGTTACAGTGTTTACTTCCTTTTTAATTAGATTTTTATTAAATATTTATTTATTTGTGAAAAATGCTTTGTCTTCTAAAGTATAAGTATGTTTATTTTACACAATTATTTAAAATCAATTTTCAAATGATTTCAAATTTCTTAAATTAAAATAAATAAAATTATATCGGCTTTATATCGACCACCCTGCTTTCCAAGATATCGGCATCGGCAGTTAAAAAAACAATATCGGTCGACCACTACTTATGAGAATTCTTCTGAAAAAAATAAATAAAAAAATCACCTGATATTTGCAAAATATTAAGAAAGTTTTAGTAAACTATAGAAATGAAATACCGCAAGTGTGCTGTCTCCGACATTAGATGCAATGAGCCCGTCAATGGCCCCCTGCTCAGTGTCAAACTCATGCAGTCTTTCCAGACGCCCATGATGGAGTCTACGGCACACCAGCAAAGCCAGCACAGATAGCAATCCCAGAACCACAAACGGCCCCAACACAAAGAGAACCAGCATCTCCACACGGTAATGCACAGCTGCCTCTTCTTCTGGACCATTTCAGAGACACAAATACCGTCAAATATATTCACTTTTTTTGGGGGGGAAAGCAAAACTATTTATTGAAAAATATATATTTTATAAAAAAAAATGTAATTGTTTTTGCTAGAATGTATTCAACTATTAAATAATAAAAGTATAAATAAATAATAGAATAAAATAATAATTGGGCTCAGAGATGGCTCAATGACTTTTGGATGAAAATTTTTGTAATACAAAACTGTTTAATGAAAATTTTATTTTATTTTTTTTAAATTAATGAAACTATATACATTTAAAAAATGTTGCTAAAATGTCTTAAATTATAAAACAACACCTTTAACAACTTGAATTTGTAAATAATTAATTGACTTACCTGTCAGCAGTAGTCGAAGAAGGGTCTCTTTCGAGACATTGGCGTTGCACATGTGTTGAGAGCAGCATTCTACGACATGACTAGCAGAGGGTGTTGCGGAGCAGGTCATGCGCTTGCTCTCTGACCCGACAAGACAGCCACGTTTGAACGTTGTCACATCATTGCTAATGATAACAGAGGTGTAACACTGGTCTCCAGTGCACTGCTGCTCATTACAGTCACTGCCGACACACAAGCAGTCAATGGAGACATCTGGAGAGAGACAGAAAACAGAAAGTCAGGGAATTAAATCATAAATTAAGGAAAAGGGGACCCAGTCTGTATCCATTTGTCAGTTGTCACCAGCTGCAAAAACTCTGGGAACAATGAAATTAATTAAGGAAGAGCAGCATGACGCCAGACCTCACAGACGAGACTCTCTCCGCCTGATAACTGAGACGGTTTTCTTCCCTTCTCCCTGCCTTCATTTCCTGTGACACTGAACTATGTCAACTTTACAAATTGACTTCAGAGAATAAAGGCCAGAGAGCATCAATGACACAGATCAATTAACCCAGCATTCATGTTTTATGCCCTCTGTGAGACACACTAACAGAGTCTGAGGAGAGAGGACACGGACACCTAATAAAAGTACAACTACGATTAGGTACACCAATCCTACTGCGTTGTGGCTAGATGTTTAAACTATGACTTATTGGTTAATGCCACTATAGTCTCAGGCATGCTATTTCCAGATGCCAAAGTCAAACATATATTATCAGTTCACCCTTAAAGGGATAGTACATCCAAAAATTATTTATCAATTTATTAGATCAAATATACAGTAAAACCAGTAATATTTGAAATATTCTTAAAATTTAGCAATTGTAGAATTTATTTTAATATATTTGAAAATGTAATTTATTCTTGTGATGGCAAAGCTGAATGTTCAGTAGTCATTACTGATTTGATTCTTAAGAAATATTTAATATTATTACAATTGACAAAAGGCTCTTTAATTAATGGCAAGTTCAAAAGATTGTTTACGGTTATTGTAATCAATTTAATTTTTAAATATGAATTTCTTTAAAAAGAAATGATCCCTTAAGGATTACCCACATCACATATAAAATACATTAATATAAATAAATAATAATTATTATTCATGATGATAATAATAATAATAAAACTATACAACAATAAACGTAAAAGGTAATAAAAAATATCAGAAAAATGATTTATGTTTGCCAGCTCTTTACCTTTAGCTGATGTCCGTAAGAATTGAAGCAGGAATAGGACGATGATTCGGGTACTGCAATGCCCCATTTGGTTCACTGCACTGAAAGGAAAACGAGGTGTTACAAATGCACATTTAAACCAAGAAACACCACAAATCACCTGCTTAGTTTAAAAGTTCTACAGAACAGGGGGCCAGAATCAATGACCAATAAGAGAACAGAACCGCAAAGATGACGAATAAAATTTTTTTTGAGAATGCAGCTGTGCTCTGCCTCTCTCTCGTGCCACAAATAGTCAGACAGGGGGCCGTCTCCATGGCAACCGAGGAGAGAGCAATGCCCATTATGGAGCGACATCAAAGACAGTGAAGGAGCATTTTAGGAGAGACAGAAAGGAACAAGCATTTTGGGTGTGCAGGACTCACCATTACGTTGTAATATTCAAGGACACAGTTCACAAGGACATCATGACTAATTATAGACTATGAGTCCTCGAAAACTGACTTTTAAATGATGTAGGGTCATTTTATTCAATGCCTCTTAAATCCTGACAACTAAAAAAAAATGCAATTTCAAAATGACCAAAAAAAATGCAATTTTACACAAGAGCGACAAGGGACAGTCTTACTTGTACAACTTCTCAGGTGACTCTAAGCACTTTCTTTCAGTATGCGCACAGCCAGACTCTGTCTTCCCATTGGATTCTAAAAAAGAAGATGGAAACCAAAGCAGCATGTTAAACTTTTTCCACAGCAGTGCCTTTCTCATGGTCATTTCTTCAGGAAGGAGTGAGTGACAGGATAAGAGGGGTGCCTGGAAGTCTCTGCACACTGATAGTCAGAGAGCTGGAACTGACTTATGGCTTGATTCCATTTTGCTGCTCACCATAACAACATGTTAACCATATTAACATTAACCATATTAACGAAAGTTTTTTTCGAAATGCAAAGGATCCTAAAAAGTAGAGCCCGACCAATATGGGTTTTTTGGGGCCAATACCGATACCGATATTAGGGAGTAAAAAAAAAGGCAGATATCGATATATCGGCCGATATTCTTTGTGTATATTATAGTACAGTACCAGTCAAAAGTTTGGACACTTTCCCATTCGTGTGTCCACACATTTGACTGGTACTATATATAGAATACAGTATATACATAAACAGAATAGATATACATAAACACATTTTTTCACTCAAATGTGGTGATCAAACACTTATAATGACGCGACAGAGATACGTAATGGAGGCAGGGCATTTAACAATAAACTTTATTATCCAAAATGAGTCTGACATCAGTGCACTGAACAGTAAAGTTGAAGTTTATTCAACTTTAATTCAATTCAATTCAACTTTATTCCGTTGAAGTTTATTTCACTTCGGAACATTCATTCACGGATTTGCGCTACTGTCTTCACACACAGACGAAGCTTACTAGAGAAGTGTGACATAATATACCTCTGTAAATAAATACAAAATAAATTCACGTCTCGCGCACTTTAATGCGTGCATTAAACGTGTACGTTCCCTTGGAACTGGAATCATGGCGGAATTTCATGTGAAGTCCACTTCGCAGGGCACTTACGGTCGAATAAGACAATGCTTGAATGCTGCTGCCTGAACAAGAGACCTCCTTACTGAAGTGAAAGTGTTGGCTGGTGTCACTATCTCGCGAACACGGTGGCGTTGACCGTGTTAATTGCATTGCTGTCTATGGAGGGTCAGAGAGCTCTCAAATTCCATCAAAATTATCTAAATTTGTATTCCGAAGATGAACGGAAGATGGAATTTAACCACCCCTAACTCCCGAACCCCGGGGGCTATCGACGAGGCGGTGGTCTCATTCGAAAGCGGGCCTCTTGACGTACACTCGATTCGCGTTCGAGAGGGTTTCTCGAGCTGAAGGGATCCCCTGAATTTGGTGCGGATTTGCTGCGCCGTTACGGAGATATGGCCATTCAAAGTTTCAATGGTTTTCCATAGACTTAAGCTTTAAAGCGTTTCATCCAGGTTGCCAGTAGCAAACAATGGCGCGTGCTCTGCTGGACAAACTAAGTAATTACACCATTTCAAGCATTTTATCTGCGTTATATGTTCTGTAAAAAAAAATGTTCATATCGGCGACAGGCTCATATCGGCCGATAATAATCGACAAAACGATATATATGGGTCGGGCTCTACTAAAAATACTTCTATTTTGCATTTTTCTGAACTATCATTTTATTTTCATTAGAAATTTTATCATTAGCATTTCAATTTGAGTGAAAATTCAGAAAAGCTATTTTATTATTATACAAACAATTAACATGAATTTCAGAACTTATTTTGCTTTACAGACAGCAGCAAATTGTGCTTCGATGGTTATGAGAGAACTTTAAATAGTGATGATTCTGAAATATCCACTTGGTAACATTTCTACTTTTTAATTTTTCCCAAAAGCTTTCACATTGTCTCAATTGGATTCTCATATTTTGCAATCTGGACCTTATTAAATATAGTGTTCATATATTTTATACACACAAGTTACAATTTTCCAGCGAGCAAAATAGTCTAGAATTGCATAATTGCAAAAAATAAATAATAATAATAAAATACAAATAAATAAATATAAATATATTTATATATATTCCATGATTTTTTTCAGACCTGGAAGTCAGTTTTAGCACTGACTGATATTTCCAGCTTTTTAGTGACCATGGGAACCTTTTCAGTGAAGATCAGAGAGTCTATATGGTTATGATCTCTTACAAGCAACAACACAATCAAAATGACTGACGTGCAATGAGTTACACACAGAGCTGTTCATAGAAACTTGTTTTAACACTACAGATGATCTGCTTTAACAGATACAAGTGCCTGCAATTTAATCAGATCGACTACAGCAACGATCCAAGCACAGACAACACAAAAATATAAAATAACACGCAAAAACCTAAGCTGTCGACATATCATCATAATAATGTCTGCATTATAACTTCGTCTAATAATCGGCCTGTTTGCAGCAGCTGTGCTAACTGTGCTAACAACGACCATTATTTACTCGACGCATTTATTTCCAACAAATTAAAGTGCCATTAAAGATCGCTTTTACCTTTAGCTGCGATGTAGATTCATGTTTGTGTTAATGTTCCGTGTTTTCACGGTTTTATTCGAAGTCGTGCTTGAGACGCTGACAGACTGTCTGCCGCCACCCAGAGAGACTGCGCCGTGACGTCACCGTAAACAAGTGACGCGCGAGAGCATTGTGGGATACCGCAGTCCGCCGAATGTGAGTGCCTGAATCCATAAAATAACATTTGGCTCAACCTCATGAAGCAAGGAATTTTGTTTGTCTACAAACAGTTGCACAGAGTTTAGTGATCACTGATGGAGTGCTTCATTTCCTCGTTAATAAATAAGAACAAAAATGGTCGAATTTACTGTGAGCTATAGTGGTGAATGCAATCTATTATATTAAAATATTAAGGAATTGATATTAATATTCATATTTTTTAAGTGATACAAACATGAGATGGTATTAAAGGAAAAGTTCACCCCAAAATGAAAATTTGCAGAAAATGTACTAGCCCCCAGGATTCCAAGATGTAGATGAATTTGTTTCTTAATCGGAACAGCGTTATTACATATTATGGACTTTATTTTGACCAGAAGGAACGGTTTAAAGTTTAAACACCTTAATGATGGATTTTTTTTTTTTTTTTACAAACACACAGCTTTTACTTGACAAGACGTTAATTGATGGACTGGAAATTTGTGGATTATTGTGATGTTTGTATCAGCTGTTTGGACTCTGACGGCACCCATTTACGGCAGAGGATCCATTGGTGAGCAAATTTAAATTTCTCCAAATCTGTTCCGATGAGGAAACAAATGCATTTACATCTTGGATGGCCTGAGGGTGTATAACTTAAATTTTCTGGTGAACTATTCCTTTAAAGGGGTCATATGATGCTTTTTTAAAGATCATTATTTTCTGTATTTGGTGTAACAGAATATGTTGACATGCTTTAATGTTCAAAAAACACATTATTTAATATTTCCACATAGTGACCTAGATATGTGGGGGCGTGTTAGAATGAGCCGTTTTAGGGGGGTGTGGCAGAGTCTTAACTTTGATAAAGAATATCTCTTTGGTTTTGAGACTTTAGTCTTTGCAACTTCAGGGATCTTATCTATGCACAATCAGCTTGTAACACTCCAAAGAGAAAGGAAAACTTGAAATCGCATCATATGACCCCTTTAAGGCAAATCTCAACGATCCATGTTATAGCAAAATACAGATGCTGATCAGTACAGATCTTCTACACACAACCGACTGGATCAACCTTGAGAAAATTATATAAAACCTGGTCTTACAACACCTCCAAATTTACAATTGTAGGTAATGTTCATCAGTTCAATAAACTGTATCAATTTACCTGAAAGTGTTTGATCATTTATATTACTATTTACAAACGGTTAGAGAGACACACACATAGCTGCTTAAAGAAAGCAAAATGTCCTTGCCATGATAGGAGTCAAGGAGCCAGTGGCTTGACAGGTTTTTTGTTCTAAAATAGCTTGTTGATTAATGGACATGTCATTTTCTATATGGGGAAAAAAGGATAGGGAGTCAGGGGCACTGAAGGGCAGGGAGATAAGGCGTCTGACGGCCCTCAAGTGACTAGCCACAATTCCTTTCCACTCAATATCATAGATTTTTCATGTATAATCAAAGCATTGCAATTTTGGGGGCATTTATGGCACTGAGGTCAATGTTGTGTGGAACACAATTGCACCTCTGGGGGAAATGCACTCTTGCTTTTTTCCTTTATTGCAACAACATGAAAAACATGTTACTCAGCAAAGAGTCTGATTTACTGATAAAATATCGAAACAGTTGCCATTTTTTAAGCCACTGACATCAGTCTTTTTACTGTTTTGAAAATAGAACAATTTGTCTAAGATTTTGCTAAAAGTTTTTAAAATGAAATTTTGTTTGTATTTATTTATTTTGTTTTATGAATCAATATTTTTTCTTACATTTATTAACAAGAATTTTGTATTGTTTTGGCTACGTGTGTACATCAAAGTATGTGTACCTTTATAGGTTTGTTTTTGGCTCTGAAATTCTGTCCTCTATCTCATAGATGACGCGTGTCTCCTTTAATAAAGCATTGATTATGGGGAAGGTGACATGAGAATTAGGATGCAGAGGAGGTATCAAGTGGCCTATATGCTTCCTTAATTGCATAGTGGCACAAAAGAATCCCCTGTTGCCCCTCCATCCATATCTCCAATCAAACTTGGCTTGTTTTGGACCTTTGGTTTAATCTTGAGGGGCTTTAGAAGCTGTCCACAAAAAGCTATTGTATCTTACTTAATTATAACCTCAGAAATGATCTGACCTGTCCGGTGCCAGGTGCAGTGAAGTGTGCAAAAGCATGCATGCCATGAGGTCCCACTGGATAAGGAAAAGAAACACTAGATGCCCATCGTGAACGGATAAGTGGAAAATAACCTAACAAAAAAAAAAAGGCAGAGAAACTCCGGTAAAGACCTAATGGAAAGTTTTTCCCTCCCCTCTTGGTTTCTGAGACTTCTGGGTACCCTAAAAAGGTAGCAATATGAGCCCCAAGCCTTTTCCTCAGTTTTTTTAACCTTTTTTTTTATTTTTTACTTTACTTCCCATACCACCTCTGTGAGTCTGAGCCCATTTGGAAGGTTACTGTTTAAAGTCAGCATGGATCATCCAGGAGGACACCTTGCTGTGGTTCTGTTCCTACTTGTTCTGGTTTCTTTGTCCACCGAAAACAACATTAGTAAGTATACTGATATGTTCTCAGCTTTTTGATCTTATTATGACATTGGCTGATTATAAAACGAAATGTTCTTGTTTGGATTGGCTTTCTGCACTTGATTAATTTGATATCAGAATTAACTTGGGGAACTTTATATAGCAATACGTTTATGAAAAAGATTGGACAAACTTATTTGAATTTATGTTTCTCATCTTTTAATCTAAACGTTTATGCTTAAATGCTTGACAGTATTTTTATAGGTAAATATAAATTGTGCTTACCTATGGATTTTCATTCAGTATTATTTTATTCTATTATTTTAATTCATTTATTATTTTAACTGTTAATTAAATTAAATTAAATTAAATTAAATTTTAGGTTAGCTAAAGTAGGTTAACTTTACTATTATTCTAAAATGAAAACAATCAGGTGAGGGCAAGCTTTTTGACTGCCATTCTAGTGCAGTTAAAAAAATACTTATCCTGAAATATATTTGATGTTTGTCAAATGAAAGTTTATTTGCTTTGCAGTCAGGTGGTGCACAGTGTCTGATGCTGAAGAGCAAAAGTGTTTGGATCTAGCTGGGAACGCCACAGCCAGGAACATCCGCGGACAACTCCTTTGTGTGAGGGGCCAAAGCCCCAGTGACTGCATGAAGCAAATTAAGGTTGTAGGAAATTGCTTCCCAAGAAGCAAATCAAATTAGATATGGTGCTTGAAAATTACTGCAATATTACAAGTCTCATATATTTCAGATTGAACCTTAAAATTGTGCAAATGTTTGCTCCTCCTTTTTGCTTTTCTTGCACTCCTTCAACTTCTCAACTGATTATTCAGTCTTACAAAATGTTTGACGTTTTGCTTTTCCATTATATCAAAAATTATGGAAATTTCTCAGTATATGGTTTAGTATAATTTGTCTGTGATGTAAACAGAATGGCACTGCAGATGCCTCTACTATGTATGCTGATGAGATCTACACAGCTGGGTTTTGCTATGGCTTAGATGTGGCTGTGGGAGAGTCTTATAATGGTGTGGGTGAGTATGTTTAAACTATTAAAAGCATTACAGCACCAATCAGAGATCTGATAAAATATTTTAGTCATAGAGCTTGACGTCAATGCATGTTCACGTGACTTTACCGATGTTTTGTGTCTGACACAGATGGCATTAATTATTACGTGGTTGCACTGGCACGGACATCATCCAGTGATCTATCACTACTGGAGATGCACGAACGCAGCTCCTGTCACCCAGGGATGCGGACTACAGTGGGCTGGACCGTCCCCATCGGCTTCCTGGTCAACACATCACAGATCAGTGTGGATGAGCAGTGCAACTTTCCCCATGGTGAGATGTTACCATGCTGTATTTCACCGCATGTATAATAGTTACTGATATTATTTGATAGATTACAAAGCTCTTAAAAGCTCTTTTTTATATAAGCGGTTAAAAATGGTTCAGATGCAAATTGAGTATGTAATGGCACCCATTGGCAGCAATTTAAAAAGCTATATCCGTCTCCCTATGGTTTCCAGCGGTAGGAGATTTCTTTGGGTACAGCTGTGTCCCAGGAGTGAAGGACCCAGAACATGATCCCAAAGGAAATAACCCAAGGAACCTGTGTGAGGCCTGCATTGGGGATGAGAATTCTGTATCATGTTTCACTGGCTGACAGACACAGGGGGGCAGTATTTCACAACAATGCATCTCTTTGTGTGCCTAATGGGATCTGTGAAAGCCTTATTTAGTGTCAGTAAACCCTGATAGCCAAGTTCATGGATTATGGATGCTAGTTTAATATGTATGTGTATATATTAATAATTTTTTTATATTAATTATATATATATATATATTTAATTATTTTTTTTATGAAAGCCTGCATGACTTGCAAGCTTTCTTAATTTTATATTTAAAAGTTTCATCCAGACAAATGTTTCATCATGCCTTCTGTTTTAGAAGTTCTCGCTGCCTGTAAGAAATCATTGTCTGGCTTATTATTCATGTAAGGTAAGAACCAGGAGTCCTGGGCGTTGGACCTGGAGCTGGAAGACTTGAAGCTCTTGTGTCCTGACGGGAGAGAAGCTAACCTGTTCCAACATGAGAGCTGCCACCTGGCTGTGGTGCCAACCAATGCTGTGGTAGTGCGTTTGGAGGACAAATGCCGTGTTTACAAGTTCTTGGAACGTGTACAGGTCAGGAGAGACGGCCACACAGTCACACATTGGAGTCCAAAAGTCTGAGAACAGTCAGAAAATCAAGGATTTTTTTTGTGCTTAAATCTAAAAAAAATGAAAAGGTATAATGTGAAATAGGGGTATGACAATACATTGTGTCACAATATATCACAATACAAAAATGTAATATGTACAGTATCGTGGATAGCGACAATACGTATCATGTATAGTTCTAATTTAGAATTATAAGATTTAATATTATATAATTAAAAAAAAACATACAAAGAGCACATCAAATATGGTAAATCAGAAAGTTTGCAAATTTGAGCTACCTTGTTTATTCATTATTATTAATTAATTAAAATACATTATTTAATAATGTATTGCAAGCATAAGTTTCTAATGTAGAATAATGCATAGTTCCATTCTGGTTAATGAACAGTTATTTTTGCTAACTGTTCATCATATGCCTTAGAAGTATTAGAATTTAATAATAAAAAAACTCATTTTGGCTTTGTTTAAAGTATTGTGAGAGTATCGTATGGAGAGATCAGTATTGAGTATCATGAGTGAATTGTTACTCCCCTAATGTGAAATGAAGAAGTATTTAATATTCTGCACTATTTTTAGACACTATTTCTAGTTCTTGGCAATTAAATGTTTTTAATTCAAAATTTCATTTAAACTGAAATGTTTTTCATTTTCAACTAAGAAAAAATTTATTAAATCAGAAACATGTAGGGATGCAACAATTCACTCAACTCACGATGCAATATGATTCACAGTACAATTTTCTCATGATTTTTTTTTAAACAAAGACAAAGATTTTGAGATTTAAGACAAATTATAAATTAAAAGGTGTCCTTTTATTATTGCTTGGACAAAATGCTGCACATTTCTTTGTGAATTTGAAATATGTCAATTAACAAAGCTAAATTTAAAATTCAAAACCCCAAAATCAAACCCCAAATCAAATAAATAAATATTACAAATAAAAGAAATATCTTCATATAAACAAACTAAGAATTTGTCTGTGCTCTTTCCATTTAAAAGTAGAGGCAACCACTGCATTTTAATCACAATCCTAACAAAGATGCTGCATACATGCAGCATGAGCAGTTTTTGATCTAAATTACATTGTATCATTTAGAAATTTGAAGCAAAAACAGAATGGTCCGACTTTTGCTTTGTGAAACTATACTACATAAAACATCTGCACGAAACAAAAACAGTAGACACGCTGAATAAGAGCACAAATTTACTCTGACAGCAGGTGGCGCTTATGCAACAGCAGCGATACAGTGCCACTTTAAAAGAAAATACTTTTAGTCTATCTAAACTTTTCTAAAACAGTCAGTTCCCTCAGAGATACATTCATATAAACCCCCAATTGTATCACGATTCGTTTAACATCTGAACCGATTTGAATTGTCACATACAGTATATATATCGATTTTCATCTGGCTTGGGGTGCATCATTACATCCCTAGAAACATGTAAAAAAACTAGTGGTTTCAGACTTTTGGACCCCATTGTGCTGCACACACACATACAATTGCCACAGATTATATAATGACATTTATACTCCTAGAGAGTTACACTGTGTGTGGATATCAGGTTTGATTCACATTTTTAGTACATTATCCGTGAAATAATATAAAAACTCTAAAAAGAAAAAATCTGAAATCCCTTTTGTTCAATACAGAGCATGAAATTCTCATTGGAAGTGATGTTCCTGCACATTAGCGGTCAATGGTATGATTAAACGAGCCCTGCCAAAACCTATATTATCAGTGATATCTCTGAATGTCTCGAGTATTACACGGATTACATCAGGCTGACTTATGTGTTCAATACATCTAGCCGGAGCCCTGTGGTGATCATTGATTTTCACAAGACACCGTCTCACATTACAGTGTGTCATTAGGGGAGGATGTCACTACAGTGAGCTCTGTTATGAAAGCAGGACTAGCACACACACATACTGAGCAAAGCACAGTGCAAAATATGAGCAAAAAATGTCGAAAAGATTCAATATTTGCAAAAGAAACAAATATACATATTTCAAACTAACACCCACGCTCAGCCCTTTTCTCTTTTATTTGCTTCTCTGTGAGTATTCCCGAAATTCTGCTTGATTGCATTTTCTCTTTTTCTTATTTTGTTTTACCCGTTTCTGTCTTCTAGAATGCATTTGCTAATGCCACTGAAGGATTCTCTCTGTTCAGCTCGGTGAATTATGGGCAACCTGATGTGCTGTTCAGCGATTCCACCACAAAGCTGCTGCGTGTTATGGGGACCTACACTTCCTGGTTGGGGCCCAGTTACACCACCATACTGAAGGCTTTTGAGTGTGAAGGTACAGTGGAGCAGAGCTGTTATGCAGTTATTGTATTATGCAAACGTCAATATTGTAAATGTTTCTATAGGGGATTATATTGTTCATATCAGAACTTTTATAATTACATTTTTACGTTAACGGTCTGCTTATAACAATGTAGTGAATGTGCATCAAAAAACAGTCATTATTTAAATGACTATTAAGGGCACAGTACCAAATAATGAACAATAACCATTTTACTTTGTTACTGTACCTTTAAGACTAACAAAAATATCTTCCAAAGGTTTAAATGGTCTTTTTCAGACTGAGGTTTTGAGTTCTGAAAGCATATTTACAAGGCATGTAATGCACCGGTGCATCATGCTTGTTTTTCTTTTGGATGGATGCATGAAAATTAATAACTAAAACTTTAAATTATTCCCCCTGTTTTAAATTATTTTCTTTATTGTAAACAATATACAAGGAGAAACATTACAGATACAGAAACACTACCATTCATATTTATTTATTTTTGAAAGAAATTATTACTTTTATATAGCAAGGATGCATCAAAGGGGTCATACGATGCGATTAAAATTTTTACTTTCTCTTTGGAGTGTTACAAGCGCTTGGTGCATAAAGAAGATCTGTAAAGTTGCAAAGACTAAGGTCTCAAATCCAAAGAGATATTCTTTATAAAAGTTAAGAGTCAACCACGCCTACCTAAAACGGCTCGTTCTAACACGCCCCCACATGTCTACGTCACTATGTGGGAAGATTTGCATAACGCCGCCCAAATGTTCACGCAAAGAAAGAATGCGTAACTTTTATTCTCACTGTAGTATTGTTGTTGCCGCTGCTGCCATGTCGTGAAGGCGCTGTGTTTCGTTGTGAAAGCGAAACTACTTTGTTTGGCCTTCCAAAAGAGGACGATATCGCTTCGTCATGCCTAGAGCTGATCCGTGCTGGTCGCTGAGGAAATACATCAAATTCGCGCTGTGGATCGCCGGATCGGCTTTCACCGTGGATGAAGCGGAGTCCAGCCCGGGGTCGTTACATGTGGTTGCCAGAAGCCCGCCGGCCGCTCCTTCGTCGAATCCGCTGGCCGCGCCGTTCTCAAGCCCGCCGGCCGTTCCTCACTCAAGCCCGCTGTGTGTGACGCTGTGTTTCGTTGTGAAAGCGAAACTACTTTTTTTTGGCCTTCCAAAAGAGGACACAACTAGAAATCAGTGCTTAAGTTGTATTTACAACACTGTTCCAGAACAGTACAACCCAAATATTCAGGTGTGTGCAGCGCATTTTGCGGAGGATGAGGACTGTTTCCTATGAGAGTAGCCTACAATGCCGGTGTCTGTTTCTATAAAGTGGGACAGTTCCAACTTTGCAAGGACAGTCTTGCGCTTCTGACTCACAGCCTGTAAGTAAGTTTTTTATATTTAAAGAATTTTCCACTGATGATTCAAACGCGAGTTTTGAGCAGTATAGAGTAGCACTTGTTGTTTGTCGTTTCTCCAGACATGGTTTTATGATTACGCGGCGCGATACGCAACGCAACGCAACGCATAAAAAGACAGTATAAGTCATTATAATCAGTAATTATGTCCCCACTGGATGCAACAAATGCATCGTTTGTAATGGGTTTTATTGTGTTTGTCTTGTCGTGCCGGGACACAGGGCATCACAGTATGGTATGGGGTGTAACATTTCCGTCACACGCTTGAGGTATTCAGCCAATCACAATGCACTGGATAGCTGGCCTTTTCAGAATGACAAGCTTTGTAAAAATCGACGCATTTCAGAAAGGCGGGGCATAGAGGAGCAACAATAATGTACATTATGTGGAAAATAATGTGTTTTATGAACCTTAAACCGCACAAACACATTGCATTACACCAAATACACAACATAATGTTCTTTTTAGCAATGTCATATGACCCCTTTAAATTGATTGAAAGTAACAGTAAAAACTTTTACAATGATTTCTAAGGATCATCTGACATTGAAAACTTGAGACTTGAAATGAGTCTGAAAAATCTGCTTTGCCATCACAGGAATAAATGACATTTTAAAGTATATTAAAAAGGAAAACAGTTACTTTAAATTGTAATAATATTTCACAATATTACTGTTTTTACTGTATTTTTATCAAATAAATGTTGATGAGAATAAGAGACTTCTTTTGAAAAAATCTAACTGACCCCAAACTTTTGAACAGTTGTGTGTCATGTGCTGTGCAGTTCTTCAAAATGGTCAACAATGACACTGTTCCTTCACATAGTGTTTGCATATTACATTCATTTATTTTTATTTCAATGTTTTTTTCATAATGGGATTGAAGTTGTCCATATAGCAGATGATGTGTAAAGATCCCCTGGATTGCATGAATGAATTAACTCCTGTCCTCTCTCTCTCACTACAGGTTTGTGTTAATCTGATGAGGAAAAAGGAAACTATAGATCTCCCCTCCATCCTTCTCACACTAACTCTAAAGCACTCTGTGTTAAGTGTTACTCTCGTATATGGGCTGAAAGCCAACTCTCGCCTGTACTTTGTAGTACTGCTATTACTGTTCTGTTCTCACAGTGTTTATATGGCTTCATATATCACATTTACTTGATATTACACCTCTTTGGGTCTTTGCCACTAAAGCTAGGTTCCTGCCATGTGAAAAATACAAAAAATAAACACTAAAACGTCTAAACTTCTATGCAGAAAAGCACTGCAGGGGAACACACCACAAACCATGAAGGGATTCTGCCTTGACCGTTGTTAGTACATCCAAATAAATTCATTACAAACCAACAACCAACAACACATTCTGCCTTCAGAGCCAAAGCATACTTTACGCAAGTACATGAACACAAATGGTTTTAGTTAAATAACTTTAAATAAAATTGCGCTGTGCGCTGTAGCAATAATTTGTGTCTTCTTCAGCAAGTTTCTCTCTCATCTGTTTTAATGTCACAGACATATGAAGTTAACTATTGTCCCTTTGGATGCTGAGAATTGTTATAGCCACAATGCAATTACACACGTTCAGTACATACACTGCAAAAAATAAATTTCGTAGTATTTTTGTCCTTTTTCCATAACAAAAAACAAAAAAACAAAAACAGAAAAATCAAAAAATTCCCAAGTCAAGATACATTTACTTGAGAAGGAAAATGACTTGAGATATTAACTCTATTAGATATTAACCCCCCCCCCCCTTTTTGGTTGTTACACAAAAGGTGCTGCAAAGGTGCTGTTTCTTGACCCTTCAGGATAACAAATTACCAACTTGAACTTCAGTGTAAATAGTCATGTCACTCTTAGATTTATAGAACCTTCTCTTATTAATAAAAATCTATGTTGACAAACATTTGCAATCCTCATTTTTGTATTTTAGCCAACATCAACTCTATGACTCAAATGAACTTATCCAATAGGCTACATAAAAGCTGATGTGTATACACTAGTGTGTGACTGCTAATGTATTATTAATGACAATAGTGTCTCGTAAGAATTCATAATGAGCTGTCTATGACATTGCTAATGAACATTAGTAACTGAGATTGCAGGTTAATTGAGGATTTTGTGCCAATGTCCTTGAAAATGTTTGTCAGAATTTTGTACGCTCACATATCTAATTATTGTCTATCTCTGTGTTTTCAGTGAATGTCTCATAATTTATTTATCTTGAATACAAGTTTAATTATCTTGGCTCTCTCAGGCTCTGCGGCAGTACATTCTGCTGCTTAAGGAGCCTCTGATTAGGCCATTAGTACATCAGTAAAAATGTCCAGGTGGACATTTTCAATTTGCCACACTGTGTGTCAAACAAAGAAAAACATTAGCCGACCAGTGAAACTGTGGAGACAGGAAAAGTATTTTTATGTTTCAAGAAGAAAGTTTTAATGGTACCAGATGGTCCTACAGCTCACACTTTGAGTGTGTCTGTTTATGAACTCAGGCTTCATTAATCTGAGATGTAGATGACACTCACCAGCAGTAGTGCAAGATGAGGCAGTCATCACCACTGCTGTGACTGCAGCGTATGTCATTAACACAGACACAAGTTAATGAAGTCTGAAGCCTTTTAATCCATTTGAATGCAGCTTTCTGCAAGTATACACCCCCTATAAATCATTACAGACATTTAATACTTGTGTCAAAACTTGAATTGCTTATTGTCAGTGACTCAGTGAAGCCTTAAGGGGCATTTAGATGGACAATGATTCGGTTGCAATTGTGAAGAGTTTTGTTTTCGAAGAAAGTTGCTGTTTTTTTTTTTAAGATGTAGATTTTGCATTTATGCATTTAGTAGATACTTTTATCCAAAGCAACTTACAATAGAAGAGCGTAAGCAATTCACCACAGAATACCACATTTATTAGAAAACAAGCTAGGACAGAGGAGAAATGCAAAGGAGTATTTTTTATTTTTTTGGCAAGTGCATTGGTTTAGGGGTGTGGAGTGGTTCTGACAGAAAAGTTGTCTTCATCTGCTTTTTGTGATGGTTTCAGCAGTTCAGGTGGAGGTTGGTAGCTCATTCCACCAAAGAGGAACAGAGAAGGTAAAGGTTTTGGAAAGCGACAACAAGGGTCATCTTGTTTAGTGACCATAGCTGGTGGGAGGGAGCATGCTTGAAATGTCTACAGCGAACAGCTGGTATTTTTAATCGATTTAATTGCTGTCAGTGTGAACAGAGCTTAAACTGCCAGAGCAAAGGTATAACTATGATGATTAAATGGATTATATAAATTCATATGCATATATAACAGGATTTTTCTTGCTCTTTTAAAATATAAGAATACTTTAGTGGTTTATATTAATAGAAAGTGCATCGTATTGACGTCAGAACTATCAGAGCATATGACCATCCACATTTGAATATCAAGATTTTCATGAACTTGGCAGAGGCTTTGTTACTCATTTTACATGCAAAAGGTTAGGAGGTCATTTACAAGTAGGGATTAGAATACATCTTTGTTAATAATTTTGTTCTTCTCTATTACATAAACACAATATACATCCAGACTTCGGTGATTCTCTTAATAGTAATCTGCTCAGGTGAAGGATTAAGATGTGGGCAGCTTCACTCATTCCTTCAGGATAATCTTTCCCTGCATGGGCAAGGCAGGATCTCAGGTACACCTCACATTTCTGCTCCTCACAATCCCTTTGATCACGTTTCATAGGCTTATCCCTATAAGCCTATGTGGTGTGGGCACTCCTGGGAGAGAGGGGGTCTTACGGGGTCAAATGGACACAATCTGGATACAGAGAGTGGTTGTGATCAGTCAGGCACGGACACACTCAATGGCAGCGTTCACTCTCACACTCAAACTGAGAGGCCATGGGCCAGAACTAAAATAGCTAAACCTCTAGAGACCTATAACAGAAGACTTTCACTGTTTGATTCATTTCTTTTGTCAAATGTTCCTACACTGCAAAACAGAAAGATGAACATGTCCCAAGAGCTCGGAAGCATTTGAGTCTTTAAGTGACACATACTCATATGCAGTTCTGAGAAGAATTATTATTTTATATCCACCTTATTCTGCAACGCGGAAGTGTGGACGAGACTTCCGGTTCATTAGCTGCTGTAAGGAAATAATGAGAAGAAAAACGACATGCAGTAAACGGTTGCACTACAAACCAGTATGTTCATAATTAAGATAATACATTAAAATAATAAGGTAAGACACACCAATCTGCAATATCAAGCAGCAAAACGAGCTGTTTTGTAAAGCTAAAAATAGCTGGATGCTCATGAGACTGGAAGCCAGTCCCATAAAAATTACAAATGGCCGCGTCCACTCTTACGGGAAGAATAAAGTGGATAGCGACTAGCAAGAGAGTAGCGTTATTATTTAAATCATGCAGACTTGCAGTAACATATCTATTTTAGTTTAAACGTGTGTACTGTACTGTACAGTTGTACAGTCGTCTGTGCTTACAAACAGAACAAGCCCGATTCTGAAAATTACTCTTTTGAATCGGTTGGAGACTGATTCAAATGATTCACTGAAAAGAACCGATTCTAATCTAAAACAGGACTGACAACCATAGGCCTTATTCTTCTGCTTTGTGAACGTACGTACGTTGAAAACATAATACTGTCAGCGTATACAGACATTGTATGTATGTCATAATTATAAATGCGTGTTATAGTTGGGAAAGAGATAAAGAGAAATGTGTCATGATGGTAGCTTTGATTACAGTCTCTGAAAGGGGCACTGGATTCAGCCTGTTGACTGGCACTCTTATGTACCAGGGGTTGATTTTATTAAATTTTTAAAATAAAAATTAACAAGTTTCAAGTTGTTATTATTAAATTAAAACTCATTTGGAAACATTTTACCGTACTTAATTTATTTTTGCAACTTTGTACTTGCTTTTATGCTAGCCTATAGATTTTATTGTCACAATAAAAATAATTGTTATATATATATATATATATATATATATATATATATATATATATATATATATATATATATAATTTTTTTAAAATTCTTAAACCAAAAAGAGTGAAATAAGACAATTTGAATATTTATTTTATTAATTTATATAAATGTTATATATATATTCAATATTCATACACAAATTATTACACTGTCGCTCAGGCATCTTTTCCAGTTAGTGACAAACATGCTTGAGATGGAACATGAGATGTGTGAAGAAAATTAAGAATCAAGGTAAATATTGCACATTTTTAATTATTTATAAAATATGAAAATAGTTTGCTGTATGTACAATGTATACAATTCTAGCTATGAAGTTAACTTTAAAATATAATTTAATTTCCACCACTGTTATGTTATTTCAACAATGTACTGGGAATGACACTGTAAAATGCTTATGACTTTCAGAAAAATTACAAATGAGAATGAAAAGTGAGTGATAGAGTGACAGATGATGGAGTAAAAAAAGAGTCACTGACAAACCATATAACAGATTCTTACACTTTCACTGCTACCACAGTGGTGTTCAAAACAAGCATTCTGTTCCGAAAACTTAAATTCCCACCATATTCCCGCTCCTAGTATATAGTTCTCTTCAGACCACCCATGGGGCCATCGTTTCTAGTCACCTGAGGGAACAAGCTGGTACCTTTCACACAAAGCCAGATCTGTGCAGAGTAGATGGCAAAGAGGCCCTGTATTTGGCAGCTGTTTTGCCAAAGCACTTTGCTCCACAGACCTTTCAGGTTCCCTTGTGCAGTGATCCTCACTTGTGTGGGAGAGAACTCTGGCCGGCTGGTGTACCCAGGCTCAATATTACCCCAGCCAGGCTCTGGCTCCGCAAATGGAGCCTCGAGGAAGTGTAACTCCTCTAGATTACAGCTTGAGGTCAGGCAGATACAGTGTACACATACACTACATGGTGATGTGTGTGAAAGTTATTCTGCTCCTTCCCCGTCACACATCATTTCAGCTGAAGTGTGGGGTATGATAAGGGATGCATTTACAATCTAATGTGACTGACACAGGATTTTCTCCTTCCGGTAAGATGAGCTCTTGCGCTTATCAAAGAGCTCTTGTTGGATGTGTAATGTATCAGTTACTGCAAACAGGCCTGCTACACCTGACCCTCAGCTTACACACACACACACACACACACACACACACACGCTTTCTCTCTCTGTCCTTCATAGGCTTTGTGCTTAGATGACAGCAGGCAAAGAGGGGCGAGTGGATATTTGATTTATTAATGGTTTAATTATTTGACTCATTGGCTGATTGACTGATTGATTGAGCAAAGGGCTGATTGATTTTCAATTAGGACCACAATCGAATTTCCTGAAGGAAGCAGCAGTGCTTTCAAGGCAGTATGAGA